AGAACAAGACCCTCACATCAGTGTTGGGGGCCCAGGGAGCCACCGAGCCACCCCACCCCCCCTTGTCACCTGAGAGTGTGAGCACATTTCAGGGCAAACACGGTGGGGCGGGGGGCGGGTGCCCTCTTGTCGGGGCTTGTTTTCTGAGCAGAAGGAGGGAGGACCCTGTCATTTCTCCTGCAAAGAAGGGGTGTTTGTTCTTCTCGTTTATCTGTGTCCACAGGGACGTGGCGGTGTGGCACCTGCCTGGCGGGGCTGATGGAAGTGCTGGTGTGGCACACCCTGTGTCCCGGCCCCATAGCAGCACCCCAGTGTGAGTTCCTGGGGCCACTCACAGTGGGGTCCGTTGGGGGCATGGCCAGAGGCTGGGTGTCCTGCTTGCTCAGGGACAGAGTGGCGCTGAATAAAAGAATGTGCCCGGCACTCTGAGGCCACGGCATTAGCCAGAGGGAAACTTCCAGGAAGGTGGAATGTCGTGGTGGAAAGTGTGGGTGTGGTGTCACAGGTGGGTGCTTTAGAAGGGACACGTTTGCGATTGGCCCCAGGTGTGCGTGTGTGTTTGTTTGTGTGTGTGTGTGTCTCTGCCCTCATCCCCTCTGTGGGTGTGGCCACTGTGGTGCCCTCTGCACCCAAGCGTGTCATTCCCAGGAGTCCAGGGACCACTGGGTCTCTGAGCCCTGGACTTCGAGTCCTGCGGGTCTGCTCGCCTCTCCTCCCTGCTCTCAGCCCCTTGCAGGGGGCCTGAGGCCTGGCCTGGGGGGCTGGGGTGCACCTGCCCCCCTGTCACACGCGCACATACGAGACTACACACATTTGTGTTCAAGCCTCGCTACCACCACTGTGGGAGGGGCTCTGGGTTGTGTCTCCAAATAATTCCGTTGTAATAAACCTCGTTCCTGCTGGTAATAATACCCCCCCACCACCACCACCCCATCCCCAGCTTACAGCCTGGCCCAGAGCCAAATGATGGGATACCTCCGGTCGCACAGCACAGCCTCTCCTGCGGAGGCCCTCACTCTGAAATGTCGGTCTGTGGGTCTGTGTGCTCCCCGTGCCAGTCATGTCCCCACAGTCACTGTCCGATCACACGCTGCCCCGGATGAAGCCCTGCGTGTGGATTGGGGGGGGGGGGGTTTCCCACACTGAACTCTCCGCAGGAGTAGAAAGTCCATCTTTCTTCCTCAGCTCAGTTAGTGGTTTCAAACTGCTGATCTTGTGGTTAGCAGCCCGGCACGTAACCTCTATGTCACCAGGGCAGCAGCCGCCCTTTTCAGCCACGAGGCAGTGGGTGGGTGTAGGGGTCCGACTCCCCGCTCTCTCCGTTCTGAAGCAGGCCTGTCTGCTGGGGCCCAGAATGAGGTCGTGGCTGGCTGGGCATTGTCCTTGCTGGGAATCCCCTCTGCCTCTGGCCACGCTGTCCTCTGGCGGCCAGGTGCAACTATCACACGCTCTCTAGGACCACTCTGCCCCTGCCTAGCTGCCCCTGTAGCCTGGTAGGGTGGCCAGGCCTGCAGAGGGTGCCCTCTGGGGCGAGCAGGTTTGGCCAAATGCGAGAAAGGCCTGGGCAAGGGTGACCTCAGTGGCCAGCAAGGTGTGCCCACACCTACCCCTACTGGCTGGGTTGGTGGGAGCCTCAGTCATGGCCTCCACTCCCTTTCCTCAGCTTTGGCGAGTTCTACACGCGGGAGCTTCACCGACACCTGGCCCTGCCCCGGGCTTACAGTGAGAAGACTCCCGTGCAAGGCCGTGACACGTTTGGAGGCTTGGGCTGGGCAGCCGGCAGTCCTGGGCCCTCAGCCTGGCCAGGAGTCCCACAGTGGCAGGGCCCAGGCACCAGATAGCTGAGGGCGAGGTTCCAGGAACGTGTGCACACCTGGAACAGAGTCCTTGCCTCACCTCTGAGGGGCCCCGGCGGGTCCCGTGGGAGGGCGCCCTCGTTTCTGTAAAGGTGCCTGCTGTGGTCACGTGTCTCTCGTGTTCTGTGCTGTTGCTTAAGGTCCCCTCGGGAGGCTTTCGCCACCCTGAACTGCCCTTCCTGGCTTCGTGGGCGAGAGGACAGACTGAGCACCTGGGGAAAGTGTGTGACTTTCACGGTGTGAGGAACAGGGAACAGAGTGGGTGAACCGTGAGACCAGTCACCAAGCTCCTTCCCTGTTGTAGCATGCCCTCAGCCCTCGGGGGCTGCCAGTCACGGCCACGGAGCTCAGTGAGTCCAGGAGCAGTCATTTGCACGGGCCTGCAGGTGGCCTCCCTTAGAAGGGCCCCTGTGTGCTGCCTGGCCAGGCCATGGTTCTTGGTCCGAGGCCCAGGTTCAAGTCCTGGACTGGTGGCCTCCTCTCTCGGCAACCAACTTCCTCTGGTAAAGCCTGTTTTGTGACGTAGCCCGAATGTATGGTGACATACTGTGTGGCATGGGGCTGCTACTGAGGAGCAGCTGCTGGTTTTGAACTGCTGGTCTTGCAGTTAGCAGCCCCCCCTGTATTCACTATGCCTCAGGGTGGGCGGGTAAGGGCATTTCAGCCGTGGGCATCGCTGGTGGCGGTAGCCTTCTGGCCAAAGGCAGGCAATTTGAACCCTCTGAGAAATGCCTCTGCCGACAGGCCTGGCTCTCTGCCCACGTGGGAGTCACTGTGGATCGACCCCACATTTGCCCCTCCGTACACGGAACGAGAGAAAGGTAGAGCTTTGTGGTGAGCTGTGCGGGCAGCTACAGGCCTGTGTTCTCAGGCCTGCATCATTCTGTCTCCATGAACCTGGCGCCTGGCGGAGGGCAGGGGAGCCAGCAGAGACGTTAGACAGAGGGAAGGCGCTCCCTCCTGCACGTGCCCACGGCACTGCCCCTTCTTCACTCTGGGTGGTTGGGATCGGAGCGTCCTGTGTGGGAGCATGTGAGCCATCACAGGAATGGGTGACCTTGCTGGGGCCGGCCACCTTGTCCCCTGCTTGCTCACAGGTGCCAGCCATTCCCTCCTCTGACTCAGTATTTACATGTGCACACACACATGGTACCTGCATGCACACATGTGCACACACTGGTGCTTGTATATATACGCACATGTACATGCTCATGGGCACAATCACTCACATGCACACACATGGTCATGTGTATGTGCATGTATGTACATGCATGTACACACACACTCATGTGCAGAGAAAGGCAGGAGGCTCAGAACATATCTAGCACACAACTCTGGGAAAGTGGGGTGTCTCGGGGAGCTGAGGCAGCACCTCCACAAAGCCAGTGAGAAGCGGGTGTCTCAGGAGCTGGGTCCCCGACATGGTAGGAGGCCCTGCCTAGGGGCTGACCTTGCCGTCACCTTCTTGTACCTCGGGGCCACAGCCCTGCTGGGCAAAATGGAGGTCAAGGCCACCTCGCTGGCTGCCCACAGTCTATGTCTGATGAACCCCTCTTTGGCCCCTCCCCATGGCCAGCTGGTACAGTCTTGGGGGCCACACCCCTCAGGGTGTCCCAGTGGCATATCTGGAGGCCAGCCCCTCACCTGAGCGGGGGTGGGGGGGGGGTGGGGGGCCCTGCCCAGTCTTGCATCCCTCGGGATGGGCCTTTCAGAGAAACCCAGGCCTGAAGATGGCCGTGTTCTCCGCCTGCGGAAAGGTCAGCTGGTGGACCGTCCCTCCTGGCAGCCCCGGACGCCGGGCCGGGCCATTTCCATTCCTGCTCCGTCCTGCAGCCCGGCACTAAATAGATTCTGAAATTGAGTGTGCAGAGCTGCTGCCCTCCCGAGCTGGCGGGGTATTGCTTCTCACCTTGCGAGGAGCGAGGTCATGATAATATGAAGCGAAGTGGATTAAAAATAAAACCAAAGGTATTTATTTATGACCTGCTCGGAATTGGATTGGCACCCGTGTAAGTCGCATCTAATGGTGGGAGACAACAGATTGATGTTGATATGTCCCTGGGGATATCTTGCCGGGGAAATTGGCTCCGTGAATTCAATTTAAAGGCCCGCAGAAAGTATCCAAAATGCAGAAGGAGATGGGACGGAGGGAGGGACTTACTTTCACCACTACAGCAAAGCAGCTGTTAGTTGGGCGGGGGGTGGGGGAGCGGCCAGCAGCTCTCACTCCTGTGATTGGAGAGCTGGACTCAGGGAGGGTGGGGACATGTGACCCGGGGCCACTGAGGGGGGACATGGGGGAGGATGGGAAACGTGGCTGCAGACCCCCAAAGGAGGATACAGGGAAGGGAGGTGACATGTTTGTGGCCAAGGGCCAGCCCCAGCCAGCACTGGAGCAGGAGCTGTGCTCAAGGAGCTAAGCTGCCTGTGAGGTCCAGGTAGAGACCCCTGCCCCTGTCCTACAGCTGAGAAGGGGCTCCGAGAAGGGGAGTTGGCTCCAGGGTCATACCGTGCCGCTTGCCCTGCGCGCTTGAGGGGACCTGGCTGTGGGAGGGCAGGAACTAGCCCAGGGGAGAAACAGCTGTTCCTTCGATAGGAGGGAGGCCCAACGCCAAGCAGTTGGAGAGGACAGGCCAAAAGACATCCCCCCACTCCCATCCCCCGTGCGCCATCCCCCCCACACACACCTGCCCTCTGTGGCAGCTGTGGGGCCAGGCAGTGAGTGTCAGTTGGGGAGAGCCCTGCAGGCCACTACTGGGACCCCGACTTGTCTGTGCCACCACAGGGCAGGGGGGCTAGCCGGTCACTGGCCAGCTGCTGGGAGTGCCCCCCCCTCCCCTGGAGAGTCCAGCTTGTTGCACCCATGCTCTGACACCCCCGTGACTCCCTGGCTCCCATTCTGCATTCTGCCCTCTCCTGCCCTGGGGGTGGGGATAAGGTGGGGTGGGGAATGGGATGGAAGGATTGGACTGAGGGACAAGCTCGGTAGGCCCAGTGGCCACAGCACCATCTGCATAGAGGGCAGGGGTCTCCCTGCACAGTGCTGGGGTTGGGGCTAGAGTGCAGGCCCCCTTCCTTGCTGGGCTTCCTTCAGCACCCAGTGTCCTGAGTGCCCCCCCCCGCCCCCCATCTCCCCCTGTGCAGGAGCTGCTGCTCTTCCTCCAGAACCTGCCCACCGCCGCCTGGGGGGACGAGGACGTGAGCCTACTGCTGGCCGAGGCCTACCGCCTCAAGTACGCCTTCGCCGACGCCCCCAACCACTACAAGAAGTGAGCCGACTGCCGCCTCTGGCCACCCGCCTCCAGCGCTGTGCTCAGACGGCCACCAGCCTACATGGGGGCTGGCCCAGGGGCTGCTGCCGCCAGGATACCAAAGAGCTCGGCCCACTGGGCGTCCTTGCCAAACTGGCGGAGAGCCTAGGGCAGACTGCTGGGGGCCCTCCCGCGGGCCTGCCCCGTGCGGCCAGCTGAGAATAAAGTAACAGGAAACTCAGTGACTCTCGGCCGCTGTTCGTCTCCCATCCAGGCTGGCCATGCTGCCGCTCCCTCCGTGACTGAGCCCCGTGGTGGCTTGTGGGACGTATGTCACCCACCTACGCTTTCAGTCTCAGGCTTCAGCCTGGTGCACAAGGAAGCATGGGCTGCCCCAGGTCTGGAGGTGCTTGGCACCCAGGGGTGTGGAGGTGATGGGGTGGGTGGTCTTGGGTATGGAGGTAGGTGGGGCCAGGGCTTGAAGGTAAGTGGGCCCCACATGTGGAGTTGGGCAGGGACCTGGGAGCAGACCTGGGTGGAGCCCTCAGGTGTGTAGGTGGGCGGGGTTCTGGCTAAGCCCCTGGGGCAGGACCTGTAGCCAGTGGACCTGTACCTCCCTGCAGCACCGCCGTGAAAGAGAGCATCTCCCACCCGCTGGGCCCAGCAGATCGGCGCCTGCAGGAGCCAGTCTCTGCAGCCACCTCTGTCTCCTGTCTCTGCTTCCCCACCTTTGTCCCCCTCCCACCCAGGACCAGGGCGCCTCTTCCACCAACTCTGAGCTGAGTCGGGGGTCCCCGGGACTCAGGACAGAGCGCCATCCTCAGAGGAAGGGTGCCCACGGCTGCCCTGAGTAATGCGTGGGCTCCCTGTGGGTTCACCTAGG